GACTCAAACTATTGTATGGCAGGAACTAGTCTTTGTTTGGAAACTTAGCCAAAATCATAACTTATGCTAGCTAGTAGTATCTTTATTCATTTCTCTAACTTTTTGGGTTAAATTTTTTATCTGTAAAAAGAAAGTTGACCTGTGGATATAGCTCAGCAGCATAAGCACCTACCTGGCAAGCTCAAGGTTCGAGTTCAAGCCCCAGTAACCCCCCTGTCCCCACAGAAAAAGTTGAATTGCTTTTAAGATTTGTTATAATTTCCATATACTGATAATTACCAATACTTATATAATGCTTGCTATCTACCACTCATGGTAGCCAGTACATACATGAACATATACAAGTACATACTCAGATAATTCTTGCAAATACTGGGCAAACTTGATACAGTTACTATTGAGGAAACAGGGGCAGGAAGGGTATGCTAGTTCAGTTTGACACAGTTAGTAAGCAAAGGACCTGTGGTTGAACCCAGGGAGTCTGGTCCCGGAGCATGCTCCTGACTGTTCTACCTGACTAGATGGTTGCTGTCTTTTGCAACCATGTTACTTTATTTTTAAATTTATTTTTTATTTTATGTATTTGGTACAGGGTCTCACTATGCAGATTGGACTTGTAGTGATCTTCTTGTTTTCAGCTTCTCTTGCGCTGGGATTGTAGGTGTGCACTACCGTACCTAGTCTCCTGTTACAGCTTTGAATTGAATTGAACGGAAAAGATTTAGGGAAGCCTCTCTTTCTTTACTTTTTAAAGATAAGAAAATGTGAATATTAAGTGTTGAAATTATGGGAAGGGAACAACTCTTACTAAATGACTCATTTAGAGGCAAATTAAGGTTAACAGTAGCAGTACTTCTATTACATACTTCATATGCAGCAGCATTGTTCAAACAGGGAATCCAGCTGCAGTTGAAATTACTCAAGATTTTACAGTCTTGAGAGTTGCATGGTAGCTTTTAAAAACTCTTAAACTGTTAAACTTTCTAAAGTTGAATTTAGTAAGAACATGGTTGTGCATTACTTTTTCCTTCAAGTACTAATGTGTACTCTGTATCTAGTATGATCTGAAGAAAAGCCCAGGTAGCCTAAGGAAAGGAATTTGAGTTGAAAAAAAAAATTGAAGGAATTGGGTAAGATATATGGCCTCAAATATAACAAAATGTTATTGCTTAGGTTTGATTCCACAAAATACAGAGTTGAACAGTATGCGAAGGTTATAGTGGCAGATTCTAGCATGGTGGAAGCCAGGTGAATGTGAAATTGGTAGCTTATATGTCATAGGTTTCTTTGTCAGGAGATATCCAGCAAAGGCTGGGTGACTTGGAGAGAGAGATAGTGCAGAGGTGTTTTCCAGCATGGTCTGGCTGGGTGAGATGATTTTTTTCCTATAGTCTGGCACACAAGAGGTACTCAATAGATAATGTTAATGACCTAAGAATGGAACAGGAGAAATGTTCTTTAAATTCTGTTCTTTTTTAAAATGAGTTCTGGGCCGGGGAGATGGCTCAGTAGAGTAAGCGCTTCCCTGGCAAGTGCAAGGACCCGAGTTCATTCCCCAATTCCACCAAAAAAATAAATAAATAAAAATAAAATCCCTTGCATAGCTGTTATGTGTATTTGAAGTTGCACATTTTTTAGTGTATCATATTTCAGCTTATAAAATTGTAAACTCTTTTATATCAGGACTTTTCCCAGCACCTAGTCCAGAACCTTTGAGAAATACTGTACTAGTGATTTTAAGTGCTATACATATGTAGTAGGGGAGCTATATCTGATTCATTGTTAAAATTCTTTTGTTTACTATGGTAATGCTGATTCTAAATTTTAGCAGTATTTTAACTTTAGGTCTTGACTGTATAAATGTAGATCTGTTCAGTGTTGACTGCTTTTGCAGGTGCCTGTGAGGGAACCCTGGCTTGTTCTACCTGCCACCTCATCTTTGAAGATCACATATATGAGAAGTTAGATGCAATTACTGATGAGGAGAATGACATGCTTGATCTGGCCTACGGACTAACAGACAGGTAAGTGTGCGCATGCATACGGCTGGATTAGCCCGCCCTATGAGCAGGGCTGGTATGGTATGTGGTGTCAGGGATGGAACTGCGCTCCCTGCACTTGCCTAAGTAGGTGCCTTAGGCCTCTGAGCTATCCTGCTGGCTCCAGACAGGTAAGATTGTAAGTCAGCTTCAGTTGTATTAATACCGTGAGAGTGTTCTCTGTTACTTCCTATCTGCTGAGACCACACCTGATACTGTAATAATGCTTTCCTAGCTTAGAAAACAGTTACATATTTTGGATGTCAAATACGTGACATTTTTCTTTAATTGTTCCACAGTTTTTGGTACCTATGAAATTTTCCCTGAAGAAATGAATTGGAAGTATTGTCAGTATAAGTTTGGATCCTAAGTTCTTTTTTTTTTTTTCCATAATTTTATTGAGAAACAAATAGCAATGAGACAGTTTCAAATCAAATTGGTAGGACAGTTCCAATAATTAACACATTACATGCTGTCTTCCTAGTGGTTATTTGTTGTACAAGATGCAGATATGATATCCTATTTACAAACACAATTAGAACAAATTCCTCTATTCATTGAATTAAGAGTGTAGCTGTGTATCTATCCTAACCATTTTGAATACACAGATACAAAATGGTCATTCACCTGTATCCCCTTTTTTTGTTTAGTTCTGTCATTTAAATATTATAGGTGCATGAACTCAGCAAAATATTCCAAAATAGTCCAGCAGTCCATAATAGTATTGGGTCTTCTGCTTGACTGGCAATGTCAGAAGTTGTTAACCTGAGTTCCCTACATCTCAGTATAACAACATGACTTTACTTCTTATACTTTGTTTTTATACTTTTCTGCTGGATGCTTAAGACCAAGATAAAACAAGACCTATATAGCAAGAATTGTAGCTTTTGGATCTGATAAGGTCAGCCAAATCCCCTCAGGATTTATCCTGAGACCCTATACCTCAGTTTGTAGATCCTTTGTCATTGTCAGCCATGTGGATGAGTCATGGCCATTGCTTGACCCATTTGCCCTCTGTGAAAGCCTAAGAAAATGTTTTCTCTCCATGTGACTCTCCTTAGGCACACTCTACATCATCCATCACTTTCCTCTTTGGCCCCATTATATCCTTGATCAGAAAATTTGGGACACAACTGAGTTACATGATGTTACAGTACGAGTTGTCCTGTGTCATGTGTCTTCGCTGACCTTGAAAGCCTAGGGCCAAAATGTTGGCTTTCCTTGTGGCCCTCTTTTTTCTCTAATTTTTGATCTGCAATCTTAGGTTGTTAAACCCTCCAGAAGAGAAGCTGATTGTTACTTCCATGCAACCTAGGCTATTGAGCTTAACCTCACTATCTGTGTGAATATCAAACATCTTAGGCATAATATGGAACAGGTATTTTTCATCAAGTATTGATATGTTAAACTTTTAAGTCCCTACAGAATGTAATGAAAAAAAAATTTTAAAAATATATTTATATATGTTTACACATAAGTCCAGAATTCTAACCACATACAACATCGTTGCAGGACAGTCCCACAACACTCCTTTTCCTGTCTCCTGCCTTCATTCACCACCCCCTTCCTTTTTAAACAATCTTCTACCTGGGAGACAGTACGGCAGCAACTGGCATGTCATGACAAGCAGCACGTATTCAGACCAGAATGACGGGCACTCCAAGCATGAACCTAATATTACAAATTGCCATCTTCAGTGCAGTTGCTTAGTTCACAGGTGTCAGCATATATAGTTAGTCAGGGTGAGAATCCTTCCAATTAACTGCTAGATTCGAAAATCTTCTGAAGATTCTCATTATCATTGCCTTACTCATCTTGTACATATAACTATAGCTTGCTTCTGTCATGTTTCCTAGCTCTTCTCCTTGCTCTCCCTTCATTGTCTAGTCCTCAAGTTCTTGCTTTCCTTTTAATTGTATTATACCTTTCTGTTTGCATTTCTTCTTTTGAGTTCTTATACTAGGGAAACTATACGATATTTACACATGTATGCCTGGTTTATTTCACTTATGAGTATATTTTCAAGTGGCATCCACTTAAATATGAAGGCTTTGAGTTTATCATTCTTTATAGATGAGTAAATACTCCATTGTATAAAAATACCACATCTTTTTTATCCATTAATGGCAGAAGGATTTTTTTTGGGGGGGGACCCACTCAGGGTGCCTTCAGGGCAGGTCTGGATTGGCTTGAGGATGAGGGGATTGAACTACAGCATCCTGAGCCTGACTGCTTTGTTTCAGCAGGCAGTTAAAGACCTGAGCTAATGGGCAGGCCCCTGGATCCTAAGTTCTTTAGTGTGTTTTTATTCCAGAAAGTAATATATAACACAGTTTAACAGAATAGTGTTTTTTCTCTGTGTGTGTGGGTTTTTAAAATTTTATTGGTACATTTCAGATATGCATAAAGGTAACATTCATCATGTACAGTCATCATGGGGAGTTCGTACCTGTACCTGCTATATCTTGCTTCTTTTCTCCCCATTCCCTTTCTCCCCCTTCAACCTCTCTTCTTCTCATTGTTTACAAAAACTTTGTTTCCATTTCTTTCTTTCTTTTTCTTGTTTCTTCTTTACTTTCCCCATCCCACCTCCCTAGTTCCCTTTCTCAGTTGAGCATTTTATTCCCATTTTCTAATGTTTGTTGTACAATTTGGCCCTTGTTTATACTTTTGGTTTCTCAAATGAGAAACCATATGATATTTGAACATGTGTGTATGGTTTATTTCAGTTAAAAGTATGGTCTCAAGGTACATCCATTTAAAAATGACCCATGTTTATCCATTTTTAAGACAGAGTAGTACTCCATTGTATAAAAGAACCACATTTTCTTTATCCATTTATTGGTTGATGGACATTTGGGCTGTTTCCAAGATTTAGCTGTTACATACTGTGTTTCTATAAACATGGCTGTGCACATACTGCTTTTGTATAATGCTTTCAGGATGATAGCAAGAAGGGGAATAGCTGAGTCATAAGGTTTTGGTTTTTTGAGGTATCTCCACACTTATTTCCACAGTGGTTGTACAGAGTCAGTAGTCTGTTCTCACCAACAGTGGAGCAGGGTTCCTTTTTTGGCCACAGCCCTGTCCACATTTGTTATTGGTGGATTTCTTGATAATAACCATTCTTTCTGGAGAAAGATAGAATCTCAGTATTGTTTTATTTTTTGGAATCTCAGTGTTGTTTTGATATTACCTCTTAAGTGACCAGTGGTGTTGAACAATTTTTCATATATTTATCTGTGACTTCTACTTTTTATCTGAGAGGTGTATATTCATTTCATAAGCCCAGTTTTGGAGTGGGTCTTTAATTGTTTGAGGGTAGAGTCTGATTTTTTTTTGAGTTCTTCATACATTCTAGATAGTATTCCTTTGTCTGAGGAACAGCTAACAAAAGTTTTACCCACACTTTGTTGGGTTGTCTCTTCACTCTAGTGTTTGCTTGCTTGCTTTCTTTCTTTCTTTCTTTCTTTCTTTCTTTCTTTCTTTCTTTCTTTCTTTCTTTCTTTCTTTTCTGTGCAAAATCCTGTTCATAAGATGAGATTCCAGGTATTGATTCTTTGTGATCATTCTTGTGATCATATCCCCAGCCCAGCATGTGGGAATCGAACCCCTTCTGTAGTTTTCAATGTAAAGGTCTTTTACTTTCTTTGTTAGGTTGAGTCCTAGGTATTTCATTTTTTTGGGTGCAGTTATGAAAGGTGTTTCTGTAATTTCTCACTGAGTTTGTTATTTGTATATTGTAATGCTTCAGTGTTTGAGTATTAAGGGTACTAGATGTAATGTTTTTTGTAGTATACTTAAAGGAAATACTTGATAATTTAACAAAATTATATTGGAAATATTTTACCTATTTGAGGGAAAATAATTTTTAAAAAGCTTCAATATAATAGTTATATTATATGAGTAATTCTTTTTCTAAGTATACATTGAACTATTAATGACAGCTTATTAATTAATAGATAGAGTTACTCTTATTTGTAGTAAAATTTATAGTACCAATTGACACTGAGTGATACTTTTTGAAAAAGTTACCTAGTCTTGTTGAGTCAGTGAAAGTCTGTAGTTGATTTAGTATCTCAAGGAATAAGATAAGAGGGATTATTTGCTTAATTAAGATACACTTTATCTGTAATTTGAGACTATAAGGAAAGTAATTTTCTTAAAAAGTTATAAGTAATAACTGTTATTATATAAAAATAAGACACTTAACAAAACTATTGTATTTAATGTTTACAGAAATTTTACATCATTTGATTTTGATTTTCTTTGATTTTTCACCCCTCCTTTCTTTGGCAGAGGAGGCGCTGGGAATGTAACACAGGAACTTGAGCATGCTAGGCAGGTGCCCTTGAGGGACACCCAACCCTCAGTTTTCTCTTGATGGAGATGAAACTAAGACTCTGAGAAGTGATACTGATAAAATAGTATTTCTTTAAACACCAAAGCAAAACAAGTTGTGAGCCATTTTCCTGTTCCCACTCACATAGTGCCACATTTTCTCCCAACTGCCCCCTTCTTTTTTTTTTCTTTACCCACCTAAAGAATATAACAGAGTATGTTCAGTGACTGTATTAGTTTGACTGTGAGAATTGTGTCTCCTATATTTTTGTGTTTGTAGTGCTGGTGAGTGAGCCTGAGACCTAGGACCAGGAAAGCACTCCACTTACCACTTGGGTATATTCTCAGCCCAGAATCTTAACTGTGCAAGAGGGTTCATTCATAGGTAATGGCTTACCTTTTTATCCCGGTATGGTTGTAGCTATATATAGTAATCAATATTTTAAAGTGAAAAACAAAAGCAAATAAAAGGAAAGGGAAAAACTATATTTGGAAAAGACACAAAATGCCTGTAGTACATGTATGCTAGCCAGGAACATTAAGAGTTTAGAATGCCGAAATGGAAAGCAAGAAACAGGTTTTATAGTGTTTCAAAAAATCCATACATAGATTTTTTTAGCAGAGATACTTTGTGACGAGTACAG